TAGAAATTTTAACTGTATTTCTCAGGAGGATTTCTAAGAGTGTTTTTGGACAATTTTCTGTTGCCAAGAAATTTTGTTCTGTGCACAGTCCTCTTGAGATTAAAACAGATTTAACTCTGAGATTAAAAAACAAATACTTTTTCTTTTCCAGTTAAACCAAATAATACATATTTTAATTGCTTTTTATGTAAAAATATTCTGAAGTATGGAACTTTGTGCACTGATTCACAATGGAAGTATATTTTTTTGTGAGAGTTTCTGTGAATTCATATTCTCTAAGACCAGACTAGGTGTTCGTCTAGTGGCCTGTTATAACAATTTGTTTTGTTGATGCTTTGTGGCTCCAACTGAGACCAGACCTTCCTGCCTTAGTCACTTTAGGTATGCCATTGGAGACAGTTTCTCTTTTCTGCTTTGGCATCTTAGCTATAGAATACCAACCCAAAAACTTGCTTGAGAAGAGATTGTTTTAAACAAACAAACAAACACCCCAAATTCAAATCAATAAAAATTTATATTCTGAATTTATCCTGATCAATATTCTTGTTGTTGGAAACCTCTATCGAAAAGTGACTTAGAAAAGATAAAATGAGTGATTCAAAAGGCTGATTTAATGTCTCTTCCCAGTGGTTTTACTAGCATCCAAGCATTAAAATAGTCTGTATCTGATGCTAGAAAAACTGGGTGGAAAGAAAACAAAAATCGTGTTATTTCAACACCATGAATGGCTCCCCAAGGCATTAGAGTACATAAACACAACTACAAGAAATGCAAATATTAGAATCAAGGCTCACCACTCATTTATAAATGAAGATAAATCAGTTGTATGCAATAAACCGAGATTAACTTGATGCCTGAAGCATGTTCTATATTAGAGGTTTCCACATGCTCACACATAGGTGGGTTATCTTTTTTCTTTTATTTTCTTCTTTTTTTTTGTGTTTAGTAAAAAATGAACTTATTATTTTAAGCTGATCCCAGATGATTCTTTTATTATCTATCTTATTTTTTCTTTTCCTTCCCTGCCTTTTTATACAGAGTGTTTAGTAAATAGAAAGAAGTGCTTTTGACATTGGGTGACAGTATGTAATCTACATTCCCACTGTTTGTTTTACCTTTTGTTACAGAAAGAATAAAGTCTGGGCAAGTTGTGCTAGTACATCAGTTTCTTTGCACTCCTCTGTACTGTAGGACCTAATTATATTTTAACACTGCATTTACTCCACTTGCCTGGAGAACTATTTCAAACAAACTGACAGACTTATTGTATTGTGACATCATAGCAACTATTTTTTATTGTTGTTTTGGGTCTTTGTTTGTGCCTTTAAGAAAAAAAATACAGAAAACAAGCCCTTCTGTGAATTCAGCCATAGCACAAGAAATTGCATTAACAACATTTAAGCAAAGTGTTGAAAACATACCGAAATAAACGCTAGTGCACTTCAGGGGTTGATAGGAATATGCAGCAAAATGCTTGGCATTTAATTTTTTTTTTCTTCGGGAATTTAGCCAGTGAAATATAGCTGCCAGTGTCTCAGGCCTGCGTGTGTTCTTCTGCAATATGCTCTCGATCAATCAGATTTGCATAACTAAACTGTCGGCAAGCCCGCTCGGCTGCCCAGGTGCAGGGCCATTTGCATATAGAACAGTGAGGAGGTCCCAAGAGTCACTTCAGACTCCAGTGACTGCTGAGCCCGCAGTCCACACCGCACTGGAAATGAAATTGGAATGACAAAAAAATGGTTGTGCTAGTCTGCAAGGGTGAAATATGCACTTGTGTTTCAAAGGTTATGTAGAGATCACAAGACAGCATTCAGGCACAAGAATATGCACAAGCCTCCAGGAAAGTAAATGCTGTTGTATGTGTTTTGTTTCCCCTCCCCCAAACACAATGATACATATTTATTTATTTTTATACGTATATATCTATGTACATAGATATATATGTATATACAAAAATATTTATTTTTTCCTTTAAAGTAGAGTATGACATTTCATATATTCTTAAATGCTTAGGTATGGAGGAGGTAAGGAATGCAGGTGTGCTTTAACTATATAGTTCTTTCCAATTAAATCTCCTGGGGGACAAAACATAAATAAGAGACCTTTCTCTTCAGTTTATTTTTCTCTGGAATGTGCATCCACTTTTTCAACATGTTTACCTAGAAGTCTATCTGCTGCTTCCTGGACTATTTATTACTCAATTAGAAGAGCTAAATGGTGAATAATTACCACAGTATCGATACAGCTGGAAACAGGATAAGGAAAAAAAATGGATTGCAATACTGATTACTGAAAGCTCTTTATCTGAGGCTTGCTATAGGTACAGTTATCCCTACATTTAGTTATCCCAGGAAACAAAATGTAGAGTGCTGAAGTGATTTTCCTCTAGGAAAACAGTGATCTATTGGCACTCTGAAAGAAACAGATTTAGTGGCACTGTGAGAGATCTAGTTCAAGATTCTCTGTTCCAGCCATTAAGGAAGGTGGCCTCCTCTTCCCCTTACCACATCTCACTAAGCACTGAAGGCAAAGGATGCTCTTCTTAGCTCACTTGATCAGGCTGCAGTGTCAGATACCATTTGACCAAGGAAGTTTTTGGGGTGCAGTATGTACTGTGTGGGGCTGGAGCCAACTGCAACTTCTCACAGCAGAGCACGTCCCAGCCCTTGCAAGGGAAAAACAGTGCAGATTTGGCCCCTGCTGCAATGCACTGTGTTGGTGGGGGAGGGCAGGAGGCAAGGTGTCCCTCCTGGTTTGAATGTCAGTTGTTGTCAAGTTGGCATCCTGAGCTGTTTCCATGACAACAGCTTTTTGTGCTGGGGGACGAGGTCATGCACCTGTGATCTCGATGAAAAGGACAATGAGAGAATGTACATTATTTAAAGCTTTTATCTTCCAGTACGTGTTTGAGTATAACCTTGAAATTGGGTGAATAAAGGGCAAAGTATATTTCTATGCATAGGAGTGAGGCAAACTAAATTGGTTAGGAAGAGCTGTGAGAAAGATTGGGGGCATTTTACAACATGGACACTTCTCTAACTTTTCATAGATGGGTCCAACTGTCTCATCAACCTTTTATCCTGTATATCAGCAAAAGTTTCTCTGGAGTGAAAGGAGTCCATCATTCTTGTGAAACTGAAAAGAAGGGCAAGCCATAGGCTGTGACTTGGTATTTTCCTACGAGGGTTGGATTAAGTTGGCCCTTATGATTTTGCTTAGCTTGCCCACCACAGTTTCTGTTGTGTCAGGCTCTGGTTGAACATGAAATGAAAAAGTAATTTTTGACCCAAAGAGCTTCCGGTCAGAGTGATTATGTGTCACTCTGCACCTTCATTTGTTAAAAACACCTAAATATTTTCAAAGCTTCACTTAAGGCTTCAGTTATGTGAGACCTGCTAGAAATAAACAAAAATTGTGTTTTACAAAAAATAAGCTGGCTACTCCTTACATTTTCCAAAAAAAAAAGGAAATTCTGAAAGACAAAAATTAAAATGAACTAGAGATGAAAAATTAAAACCAACCGGGGTTTTTTGGTAAGGCTTCTTATTCTGTCATTGTTGTAGGTGTTGTCAACCAACTACAATCAAAATGGGTTTGGCCGGCTATAATTTTCTTCTTTACAGAAACACTGGAAAACATTATTGAAGTATTTGTCTCATGAGGAAAGAAACATATGGGTGACTTATTGTGATTGAAAAAGAAACCAGAAAGACAATTCCGTTAAAGAATACTTAAATAATGAAATCAAATAAACTAACCCAAAATGAGGAAAGAAAGAAAACCTCAGCTGACTCAAATGGAAACACATATTATTACTATTCATAAAGTATGTTTGTATTTTATATGTGTGTATAGGTAACTCAACACATTGACATTTTACTTCAAATACTTGTGCCTGTTTGTCTGTGAGAGTCATCTTCTGCACAACATATTGAAAGAAAACCCGTAGACCATCGCAATAAAGCAGGAGGTGCAATGAGAGCAATTGAACAAATTTTTCTTTGGCTATAAGTCATAAACTTCAGAGATGATTTGGATTGGAATTTTCACAGCTCATACACATCAAGTATTTCTTTAAAATCAAAACATTCAGAGTGGCTTTCAAATTTCTGCTGTTATGGAATGAAAAGAACTGTACCAAGGGAGTAGAAATAGACATCACAGAATGAGAAGAATCATTAGAACAGTATATAGTCCAAGGAATGGCTACAATTGTTTGAAAAGACCATAAAGGTTAGGTGGTGTAATTACAGATGACTGCAGCCCATATATATCTTTCCTCCATTGTGCTCTTGATTCCTTCAGTGCTGTCCCAATGGATAACAGAGATTTCCTGCCATTACTTCTCCTTGTATTGACCGCCTTTTGCCTCATATGGAACTACTAGAATATATGGGTATCAGGAGCAGGTTTGTGAGGCTGAAATGAGAAAAACAGATAGATGCCCAGTCACCAGAGCTATGAGGTGTGTCCTAGAAGATAAACCAACCTTTGCCAGGCTAGAAAAGGACAAGTTAAAGTACAGGTCCCCCCAGTGTTTGCACCAGCACAGCGAAGATTCCAGGCTTTGGTAGTTACACATTGAAACTCTCCTCTCCTCTCTTGATATGCAAGAGGAGACACTCACCGGCTCCCTCCCTCCCATCTCGGTGTAGGTCAGCTGCTGTGCTTTGTGCCACTGGGCTTGGGGAGAGCTGAGCAGGGAAAACAATGCACAGTAACTGTTACTGGTGATATATGAGGGAGAGAGAGATCACTGTCACAGTATATCTGCTATTTTCAATTTAATTAGTAGTCAGAACTTCATTTGTCAACTTAATCATTGCAGGCAGACACCGCAGAGGTGGGAAGTGGGGGGAAAAATCAAGAAAACAAACAAAAAAAGGCCCATTTGTTGCTCTGGGCACATTTTATTAGTTTCTCAACTCAGTTTATTTCAATATTTCTTATATGCCAAAGTTTAGATTAAAAAAATGATGAATGTATGTAGTCTTGTCATTAAGTATTGGATGCAGAGGAACTGGTTTCGTCAAGTTCTTTCAGTAAAATTGTGCTGTAGCCTGCAAAACTGCTCGGCTTCTCCATGCTTCCAGTTTCTTTCTCTGTTAAGTAAATAAACATGTATTCTTGTTTCAGCTGAAGGAAACTAGATTTTGTCATTTGGGTGCTGCTATTGATGGCCAAACTGAAGGAAATTTTGCACAAAACAAGGAGAAACTCCATCTAGTTCGTACAACTCAGTAATTGTACTTGCCTAACTTTGGGTTAAGCCAAATTTTGAAAGAGTAAAAGTGGGGAAGTTTTAGCCCTTAACTGGACTCTCCCATGAGAAGGAGTGATGTGGTAAAGCTTTAATGGGCAAAGCTTTGATGGGCATAAATAGTGCTATCCTTAGTCAGGTGTTATGAGCTTTCTTTTAAACCCATTTAGGTTCAGTATGAAATTAGAAAACCCCATAAAACAGGTCAAGTTTCTGTTCTCTTGCCTCGGTTATCCACTCTTGTCTGATGAAAGGCTGTAATCAGAACACAGAGCCTGGAGAAGACATTTCTTAGGTAAAACAAGCGCTGCATCATCCAGTAAGCACAGCCAGGAGAGGCTGTTGGGCTTGCAGTGGCAGTGGACTGAGGGCTGTGTGTGTATGAACATCAATTCTCAGTGACAACAGTGGCACAAAAGATCAGCTCAGGCTGAATCACTACCCCTCCATTCCTGTCAGCTGCTGCTGCCTCAGACATGGGAGGGGAAGAATGTCCACCCATGTCATTCATGCCCCCACAGCTGCCCTGCTGTGCCCTGAAGTGAAGGAACCTCTGCCCTGCAGGCTCTGTCCCTCACACTGGTGTCAAGGCAAGAGTTGCTGGCACTACTAGCATGGTTAAAACTTTCCACTAGTCTTCAAGGGAGTTGAATGACTTGTTCTGGTCTTCTCTCCTGCAGTGAGACTGTGAGGAAACTCCTACTGCAGCATAAAGTTCCTTCTCCTTAGTCCTGTTGTCTTATGACAATAATGGTTTAAATGCCCATAAGTCTATTATCATACTTTTCTCTATGATCATACTTTTCAAAGTGGATTAATAGTAGTATGCTATTTGAGGAAAACTTCAATGGTAGTGGTAGTTTTTTACAGGAAGGCAGGGGTTTTGTACTTGATGAATTTTAGCTTTCAGCTTGAGTTCAAGGACTGCTGGTGGCACAGGGACCCTTCATGCTGGCTTGCAGTGTGAAACCCCTGCTATAGACCCTCAATGCCCCTGTAGCCTCTGGTTCTGCCTGCAGTGAACTCAGGCCAGACTGCCATCATTTGCTGACCTCCAGGCCATACCTGACTTGCACCTGTTGCCGTTCCTCACACTGCTGCCCAGCACTACCTTTAGCAAGGAAAAGAGAAGTAGAAAAGTTTCAGGAGAGAGTGGAATGGGTTGGGACTGAGGTCAGTGGGAGCTGCTGGATTCTGGGAGGGAGTTGTTGGGTAGCATGTCTTCTAATGCATGAACAAGAGCAGGAGGATAAAAGTGTGTAGTTTAGGCTGCAGCCTACCCCATGATTGAAGTCCCTCAGGGCAAATGGTCCTGTGCAAAATCATATCAGAGTTGCTGAGTAATGGAAAGTCCTTGAGGAGGAGAGATGGAGAGTCTTAGGCCTTAGCAAAAGGTGATAGTGGTGGTATCAGATTGATGCTGGGAAGTTCCAGTAGACCCTATGGAGTATATAATCTGAAGAGATTGCATGGACTCAAAGGCTGGGGAAGAAGTGGTATCATGAAGTGCTGTGACCAGTCACCAGAAAGGCAGGTGGCAGAGCTGGGACTGGACTCCTTTCCCATACTAAGTTGCCTCAGTGAGAAAAGTTTGCTGTCAAATCCCTACTGTGGCTGCCACTCTTCCAGATGAAGTGTTATCTCCTTTGTCATCAGCTGCCCAACTCTGGCCACAAAGGACAAGATTCATCATGTGTTTATGTGGATTTGCTCTGTGAAAGAAACAGTGGTCCATGTATTAATTCAGGTCTTATGAAATATGTGTGCTGATGATCTCTGTTTAGATGGTTCTTTTTTTTCCATAAAAATATAGCTTGTAACTTTTTATTTTTGATAGGCACTTTTGGAATTGAACATTTATTTTGTGAATAAATGTTGAAAATAAATTTAAGAGGGTGTGCAACCATTGTCAAAGCACATTCTTAAAACATGTGTGAATGTGCTTTTATGGCCTTCTAACCAGATGGGTTGGAAGACAAAACTGCCTGGCTTCTTCTGTGGTGTGATGATTCATGAGTCACACCAGCTCCCTCTGTGCCTCACCTCTTTCTTCCCTTTGTCCACCTCAAGGCTCTTCAGCAATATTTTCTTTACAACCTTGTGTGGCCTAAATCATAGTTTCAAGCCAAAGTGCTACTGTAACATAAATAATATGTAAAATTTTGCATAAGTATTATAATTAATTTATATCATGGTCTCTTATGCAGGATTGATGGACCCTTTAGGTAATAAAATAAAACTCTCAAATGAGTTTTACTGTCAATTGTAAAGGTTCTCTGAAGCTTCTTTATTTTGAATATTTCTGATGTGTCTGAAGTATTTTGGTACACAACATTTAAATACAGTAGGAGTAATTAAAAAAATAGAATACTGATCCCGACAAAGTCACTCTTGCTCTCTTTCCTTCTGTCAGATTTCTCGTCAGTTTTGTAAGAATTTTTTGCTTTAATGTCTAACCCAAACCTGCTATTACAGAAAAATGTTGGTCAGAACTAATGAAAATGAGCCTTACTCCTACTTTAGTAATTTCCCACTATGAATTCTTTGTATCTCAAAGGAACCCTTCATTAGGAGAGCTCACAGCTTTTGAAAGAGCAATGAATTTGTATGTCATTGCAACAGCCTGTTGAATTAAGTGGTTATGATCCCCATTTTACTGATGAGCAATCTGAGGGACAAGAGAAGTAACTTGCCTAGGGCAATGTGGTAAATCAGTATTTGAACATGCCTAGTTTCTGTCTTCAGCCACTTACAGTATTTTTGTTCTTTCTTTTTTTTCTTTTTTTTTCTTTTTTTTCTTTTTTTTTTTTAATGTATATGTGTGTGTGTGTCTTTCCTGACATTTTTATTTTCTTGCAAATTAATGTAAATTGAACAACCACTCTTGTTAGTACTGGTTATTAAGGTTCACTTTTATTTTTTATATATATATGTATATATATACGCATAATTTTTATATACACACATATGTACTCTCTCTCTCTTTCTTTTTCTCTCTCTATCTTTGTAAAGATCCACATCTAAATGTGGGTGCTACAGTGGGAATGTAGGGGCTGAGCTACTGTTTGAACTAACTTTGCTTGTTAGTTAGATGTTATGGCTCTAGGAAAAGGTGACTGTTTACTTGGCATGTTCCAGTAATCTAATTGGAAAAGTGGAATTACCACTTAGAAGATGAGCAAGAATGATGGGGAGAGAGGATCTTTAAGTCATGAAGCTAAAATGAACTGAAGTTATACGCTGGAAAGTGCTGCCGTTGCTGCTGTGGAGAGAAGCTTTATTTGAAATTACAAAATGAAAATTACCGATCAATGCAGCCAGAATGGAATGATTGATACCTCAATTGCACTTCCAGAAAATGTAACATAGCATAAAGATACACTATTTACCTTCTTTTCAATTCCAAGTTTTTGCACATTACAATAACATATATAAGTGCATAAATGGGCATTTCCAGACAGTGCAGTTGGGAGCAGAGATGAAAAGAGCTGCAGTATTTATCAAACTTCAGGCAAAGCTCAGCTGCAGTAGTATTTCCTTCTGGGAAAATGGTGACAAGGGTGGTCTCCCATGGCTGAAGCTGTATTTTCCTTCTCTATGTGAGGTTGTGGAACTTAAGGGTCAGGAAAGAACTGCACCCAATGTCATCTGCATGGACTCTGTTACCTGTGCAATCACAGGATGAGGAATAACTGCTCAGAGCACAGGTCACGTTAATGTGTTTTCTGTCCCTACAGCAGTTCCTAGCAAGGAACCTAAAAGTTCAAAAGTTCTCAGCTTAATTCTTCCACCTTTAGGAACCTTAGTACATCTGCCCTTGTACCTCTTGATATGTTTGTGCAATTGCCAGAAGCAGACTTCCTGGGACTCACGTTTTCTAGTAGTGACCTAAGGAGAAGAATTTGTGCTCTCTCTTTGCTGGATGTTTTGATGGATGAAGTATGGAATTTACATCATAGAGGTGAAGTCCTTTGCCTCATTTTGCTTAATGCATGAAATAAGAATGTTTCAGTGTTTACACACAGGATATAAATGAATCACCATTCTAAAGCCTGGGCCAGATCCCTATCCTTGTATTGTTCCTGCTTATTATTTATGATTTCCAGGTTTGGATAAGCTGGAGCACATGCTGAAGAAATGGGGAATACTTACTGGTTTACAAATATTCAGCACAAAACTGCACAAAACTTAAAGAATAAGAGTTAAAAATTTATTTTGGCTTTTGGAGAAGCCTTGTTTGTACAATGTCTACACCTCTGGCTATGTTTGACCTGCTGCTACTTCAAGAAGCTTCCTGTGAGATTTTACAAAAATGTGATTTGAGAAACTGCCTGCTCATTTTTTTCAATTGCTAAAAGTATCTATATATAGACAGGTTAAGGTATTTATATAAATATGCTGGTATTCAGGAATGTTTAGCTCACTGCGTTTCTGTAACCAAAAGGAAAGGTCAAGTCCTGTGTGTGCTTATATAAGAGCAATAGCACAATTCAGTTTTCTGTTACAGACTTCTAACAAATTTACACTGCTGTAGTGTAATAAGGAGTTTGGACCTTTACTATCATTATGCCCTATTCATCACCCTTCTCAGAAACTCTAATTTTCTATGACATCATGAGTGGTTGCTACGGATATGATTGCTGTGACACAAGCATGATTAGTGATTAGGACATCAGATGAAAAATGTTATGTGAAGATGAACTCTTCAGGATCTATGGTCTGTTTTCATGCAAATGTCCCTAGTATGAAGTGGAGGACGAGGAATGCAGAAAATAGAATAAATAACTAGAATTGCCTCTAAATGAAATGTTTTACCAAGTTTTCCCTGAAGCGTCAGCAGCTCTTTAAACATGCTAGTGATGGCCCATCACAAAGCCAGATGTTGTCATTTATCAAGTAAAGTAAAGAGCCCCTCCTGCTTCCACAAATATGAACTGAATATGAAATCAAATGGGAAACCGCTGCACTAACACTGGAGAAGATATAATGCAACTTTTAAGCTATTGGTAGTCTTGAGAATAAAAGAAGTGTCTGACAGGAAAGAACAAGTGTCAGAGGCGTTACTTGATTTGTCTTTCAAAGGTGAAATTGTCGTTATATATATGGACTTAAATCACCTGGTGGATGTCCTACAGGTCATATTTCCTTCTCCCCTCTCTTTGTTACCTTCTCTTCCCATTCCACACACAGGTCAAATGCTTCTTAGGGAAAAAACTTAAGGAAGTAATCCTTTAGCAAGCTTCCTAAAGCCAAGACTAGTGAATGGGCATGCAGGGCACACAGGCAGCAGTTGTAAACACTTTCTGGTAAGCATTCTTTCTCTTCAATGTCAGTCTTAAACCTGGTTAAAAAAAAAAAAAAGAAGTTGGTCTCCATTTAGATGGGCACAGCTGAGCCAGCCCTGGATGACAGAATTTTGCTGATGCTACCCCATTCACCAGCAGCATCAATCTTCATGTTTTGTGAATGATGTAAAGCATCCAAATTCTGCTTGTCTCCAACACTGGGCTATATGGTCAGGCAACACCAGTAGGAGAAATATTCTTTTCTCATGGTGTTTTACCTCGAAATTTATCGTTTCCGCTCAGATGAGGTCCTGGCAATGTAGCATGTAGTAATTGTTTTCATGGTGGACTGATGTAACTCACTGGCTTCAGGATTAAATGTAAAGTCATTCAAAGACTTCAGATCTTAAAAAAAGGCAGTGCAAAATGACAGAAGATTAGTGTATGTAGCTGTAACAGTCCTTCAAATACCTCCAAATAGGTTTGGAGGGAGAGGTGTAGGAAAACAATAAAGTTGGAAAAAAACAGATGTACTTTCATGAATGTAAGTTCTTTTACAGATCTGAAGATTAGGCAGAAAACTTGAGTATATATTGAAGGTAGTTGTTTGGCTAACTTAATTAGGTTAACTCTAATTAGACAATTTAGAAGAAGGGCAGTTGGGACCTGTAGCACACTAGGTGATATTAGCAGGAGAGATGTCATGAGGTCATTGGGGGAATGGATTTTTTATTTTTTTGATGTATTGAATTTTGAGGAGTTAGTTGGAATGGCATATAAGGAAAATTATAAAATGTCAGAAAACCAGTACTGCTTCCAAATGTATGATTTTTAGCACTATATTGGATTATTTTTTAAGTTTCAGACTCTTTTTTTTAGAAGCAATTTGTATGTTTCCTTTACATACAAAGCCTGAGAGATCATGATCTGAAAAGCTGTACTGTGAAAAATGTTATCTCACTGGAAATTATTGTTTCTGTGCTTTGTGTGTTTCAGTGTTCGCTCTGGTGTATAGTGATGAAGTGTGTTGTATCCTGGGATGAATAAAGAAAGGATAGTTCCATTGTGCAATGTTGACTGTGGTGGCTACAATAATACACCTGCATTGCTGGCTATGTCATGTATTAGCTGGTTCCTTTCAGCATTTGGCTTGATACTCACACATGGGCTATAGGGGTCATTTTTGTAACTACAGTTATGGCTGATTTGTCCTGGATTAGGTATACTGCTGAATATGCTGCTGAAGTAAGTGAAATTAGTTCCCAGTTTACCCCTGCCACACAATAATATAACTGCTGTCAAGTGTAGATAGGGGTCACTCTGTCCCAGTGCCACTACTAGGTGTACTTTCTCCTCCAGAAGGAGGACTGAGGCAAAGTCCAGCCCATCTACAGCAGCTCCAAAGGGTCCTGGGCACAGTTTCTGCCTCTCACATCTTCCCCTCACTTTGGTGCCTGTTGTACAATTTGAGACCAATATGTTTCAGGAGGGTGGTTGTGGAAGTGGGGGAGGGGTTCGTTAAATTATGGTTGCTGTGGGAACCATAACTTTGAATTTCTTGACATCTGTCCAATGACAATCTCAACATTAACGTTGCATTAACATAGTTTTTTTGCATTTAATTAAAAAAGATGATGGCCTGGAATCTGTTAAGGAATTTAAAGCCAACATTTAAACTGTTTGCTGGGAGCAGATATGTCAGAGCCTCTGCTCTGGAAATGCTCACAGAAGAGTCTGACAATGTACAATAGCCACAGAGAAGAGAAATGAAAGCAAAATGTTTGTAACACCATTGCTTGCCTCCTTCTGGTGGCTTTGCCCATCTTTCTCATCTGAACGGAACTGCTCTGACTGAGTTTAAAATAACTTGGAAATGAAGTCATTGTTTCCAGTTCCTCTGTATGCCATCACCAGTGCTGGCCACTGACTCACTCGTGTGTGCAGGCTGAGTTTTCTGGGGGCTTGCTTCTCCACCCTACCCTGTCATCCTGCAGCTTCTTAAGAGACTATGGCAGAAGCTCTTGCATGTATCAAGATAGAGGCACAAGACTGTAGTAAATGTCTGACTACAGCATTCATTCTGATTTCTGGACTGTTAAAAATGTGTCTGGGTTTCCCACGTACTATTCCAGTGCACTCGCTAATTGGTTTTGATTTTGAGGGTTATGCAAAAAAAAGTATTTACGACTGATAGGTGTCTCCAAAGGTTTGGGGGCACTGAGCTTTAGAACTCTCTTTTGTAACCTCATGTTATTTCAATAAGTTCAGCTATCAGACAAATAGACATATGGACTATGCTAAAGTTAGGTGCTGTAGATAGGAGAAAGATGTTCATATGGCACCCATGTTATTTAGTCTTCTCTCATAACAGAATACCATACTGTTAAAAATTGTCTATTTTTATGTAATTCTTCCACTTACATTGAGATAAAAAAATTATTAGTCTAAGGTTGGCTCACATCATCGGAGCTTCTAAATGTTGGCAACTTCCCTACAGTCTGTTGCAGGCAATAACTGCCAGGGAAGTTGCTTGAACACAAGCAAAAAATAGGTTTTCCTGCTGAGCCACCAGCCCAGCAATGTAAAGAAGAATTTAATACCATGGCCTTAAGAAAGTTTCCATGTTCTTCACAGACAGTCGTGCCTTCAGTAAGGTGACGGAGGGAGAATATAAAATCCCAGAGTTACTGCAAGCCTTGAAAAAGTTGTGAAAGAAGACTTGGCAGTTAGTAGCTTTATGTAAAAGATTTTTGCATATAAATTGCATACGCATATGACATTTTAGCTCCAACTTTACATGTGTTTTGGAGGTTGGATGCAATCTTGTCCCTGCCTGTCTGTTTGGTTTTGCCATAGCTGCATCAATATTAATCCTGTTGGTTTTTCCCTCTGGCTTTTTTCTTAATTTCCCTCTCTCCTAGTTTTGATTTAAAAAGTGGTTGGTTCCTTTTATCCTAGAAAAAAAAATCTAGGCATCTCTTTTCTATTTTTTAACGAATTATTGTATTTAAAGCATACATTTTTCTTTTTTTGTATTTTGTAGTAGGCACTCTAGTATTCATCTGGTGACAAGAAATGGCTAGAGAGCTGATAAAATGAAGAGATATTCCTTTACTGGAGACAATTTCTTTTCTTTAAAGGGAAAGAAACATTCTTTAAGTATTATTTCTATCCTATCTCCCTCTGCCTATCTCCCCCCTCCATTATCATCAGAGAATCAGAGGCTTTTCCTTACCAAGTGGTTGCACACAGTATTTAAGAAATATCACTATTTTGAGCTCAGATTTGGATGGGCTGTTTAAAATGACTTGCTGTAAGTTAGCTCCTCCTTTTGTTTGGAAATTGTCAGTGAACAGTCTAGTTTATCTCCCTCTGTTTTTGTCTCTTTATTAATATCCTCCTGGCCACTGTATTTATTTTTTGGTTTTCTTGTTAACTGATCTGAAAAACAGAATCTGGTTTTGGCTTATCTTTGTAAGCCTTGTTTGTAAGATGCTGTGACATGCGGTAGCTCTCCCTCATTGCCTGCATGACTGAGATGGTCGTGGGCAGAAACCTCTGAACAATCTATAGTTCTTCAGCTTCCTGAAACATAATCAGAGTTATGAAATTTTCACACTCAGCCCAAGCAGAAATTATAGATTTCCTCAATATTAGTTGATGAAATAAGCAACCCCTCTTTACCTTCAGTTCTAGCAGCAGTGACTCATTTCAGCTAAGTCACTTTGACTTACCTTGTTCCTAAAGTGAGACAATCAAGTCACTCTAGGATATGGCAGTTCATGACCTACCTCTGTAGCAGAAGGGAGCTTTTATTTCAGAAACAGTCTATCAACAAGTGATTTGCAGAACTGCATCTCATTGCAAAAGTACTTTTCCTCTATCAAATATTATTGATTATTTGAAATTATGTTTGAATTTTTTTTATTTGTTTGGATTTTTCCTACTAAAATTTCACACATTACTGATTTGTTGCAGCTGTTTTAATGAAATGAAATTTGGAGAGTGTTTGAGAGCTAGGAATTATCTTTAAAGCCTCATACTTTCTAGCACACACCCACAAAAAATTCTATGAAAGTTTTTAAGTAAAAAAATTGTTTTCTCACAATCATTCTCACTAATTTCATGAGGTGGACACATGATACAATTAATACCTTACACCCATGGTTCAAAAGAAATATAATTGATGACTCAGTGGTTCCAGTTAACACATTTGATTCCTAAGTGTATAGAAGTTGCTTCCAATTGAATAAGAGAATGTAGCTGAACAGGGGTTGTAATGATGCATCAAAAGCTATGACATCCCTGCTCAAATAATTTATAAACAGCAGAAGAATTTTAAGAACTGAATTACTACTTGAACTTCAAAAGAGACCATGTATTTCTATTAATATAAAGAACAATTGCAGGCTGTTAGCCATTAAGTTATTTGAAATTGAAATTTATCAAAAAGGTGGTGGAGGAGGAATATATCTGCACTCTAATGTGGATAAAGGATCTTCCGTGCGAGGTAAAATTACTTCTGAAATAAGAGAAGTTTAAATAAACTCTAAAGAAGACATGCAACTTTATCTTCACAGTGTCTTTCTCCCAGCCTCAGCTGAAACTCTCATCTTTTTTCCAACCAAATCCTAAAAATGACTAGAGACAAAAATTTCTGTTTCTACAGCCTAGGTTGATTCCTGATTATCAATTTTCTCAAACTCTTCAGCCATTAAAAAAAAAATGAAACTCCTGAACACCATCCTGATGACAATTTTTTTTAAAATTGAAAAAAGTAAGTCCATTAGAAATGCATGTATGTTTTTTCTAAACATAGGAATTATTTTGTAGAAAGAGAAGGATGCCATATATGGAGACTCTTTTCCTCATCACCACAGAACTCCAGTCTGACTCTTTTTAAAGGTCTCATTTCCTTGTGAAACATGGGGGTGATGTTTTTTCTTCTGTACATAGATACGCTCACAAGACATTACACTGCTATAGCAGAACTTTCTAACATCACTTTTTTACCTCTTTTTAGTGGGTGAAAGCTTGTTCAAAATATGAAGAAGGGCCAATGCTCTGAACTGGAATTTCATGTGTGGTTTTGCTTTCATGGAGCTGTAGCAAGAAACAGATAAAATTGCTCTATATCAATGCCAGTAAGTAGTGGTGGTATTTCAGAACAACTGATGTCCCTTTGACATCTGGGACAGATGTCCCTGGGACAGCTAAAAGGACAAATTAATATATGCAATTTGACAACCTATTTAAGGTGTAAAATACTCAAGTTTTAGCATGATTATACCCCAGTTCTGTTTTTCTAATTGTTATTTGACTAAAAGCTGTTTTTTCAAAGCCCCTAGAGCTGCTATGCAGAGTAAAATAAAGTAATAATCAAAGAAAGCTTGATATTCTGCACGTGAGATGCAGATTGTGTAAATCCAGCCTTCTGATGCTGAGATTAGATAAGTATGCTCCTAATATTGCCACATATTGATTCAGGATAAAATACAACAAAATGAGGCAGTTTGAAGTGGGAAACAAAGAATTTGGCAATAGTGGCACAATCAGGATATTCTGAAATTAAATTAATTCATTTTATAGACCATTCTTTTGTACTTTCAAGTCCTGAAAGCTCAAAGGTTTATTCACTGTCTAATTCTCTGTAGGATCAGCCTGGGATGGGGAAAAGCTTCTATTATAGAAAGGAGGTTCAAGTGAATGGGTCTTGTTTCAGAAGGAGGGAGGGAAAAAAAAGACAAACAAAGCAACTAAAATTGAAATCATCTTTGTTTCATTCATTTAGGTATCTTCCAGATTGGCAGCTCTGGATGCAGGATGAGATGAGAGTTTTGTTTCGTGAAACTATGGTCACTAGCCTGTAGAAGAAAATCATCAAAATTTGTTTCATGTCTGACACAGGACAAGCATCAACCCAAAATCTTTTATTTTACAGAATTAAATCTGAAGTTGCATGTGAAAGGGAAAAGGAAACAGAGAAAGAAGCTTAAAGAAATAAAAAGAGGAAGGGGAGGGGGGAAGGCAGTACTAAAACTGCAGTCTTAGCCTTCTAAACCCTTTTGCTTCTCTGATTGATACTTTTCAATTATACCTTCCCATTTCACTGACATTTGAAATGCTATTTTTTTTCTAGCGATAACTTCAAATGCTTAAGTTCCAACAGCACCAGTAACCCTGTTTAGCTGTAGTAGTAAATTGGTTCCTTGTACAACATAATGGCAGTGACAGCCTTTTGCTAGGGAAATGAGTTCTCCAATGGGACATGCCTATGATAAGACGTCCGGTTTTGAAATTGTATTTCTCTGTATCAGAATTAAATCTGGACTTTATATTTCTTTGCTGCCACTGCTCTGTAGCTGGTCCCTATACAGTACGACCAAAGACTGACAAGTAATGCTTACACAGGAACCCTTTCACTTAAATTGGATTTGTCCTTTTATGTTTCCTCCTATTATTAGCTATTAAAATCTCTCAAACCCTTTTTTAAACAGTGATAGGGTTTGGCAAACCTAAAACTCACTGACTTGCAGGGGGAAAAAAAAAGTATTCTAGTATTAAGAGCAGTAATTTCCTTCCCTAGGTAAAATTAACTCACATTTAGTAAAATACAGTATTGATTCCCTGTGTTATATGGTAAGATATACAGAGTATCTTCATTGTGTTGGGAAAGGTCAGGATTTGAATCTATTATATTGGCACAGCTAAAGGCCTTTTAAAAAGGATACCAAAGAAAACACAAATCAGTGCCACTCTTGGGTACCTTTAGAAAATCCAATCCTGCTTTCTTCTTGCTGTCATATTGCATTTCTTGGAGCCTTTAATGGCTAAAACAAAAGTAATGTGCCTTCTGCGCTGCTTGATTTGCATTGGTGCTTGTCAGTACCATGTGTGTGCACTTTGTTAGTGTATTATTACTATATGCTGTAATGGAACAGCACAATGGAGGTCAGCAGGAGATCATCAGTATATATAATTTCATTTTAACCTTAGGTTTACATTATCACTTAAATAACAAAATAATAATCAGTCTGTGGGAAAGGGGAATTCTTTTTCCATTTCTTGCAGTAAAAAAATAACTCAATGTGATTCCTCCCTATACTGGTCTTCTCAATACTGATACCAGTGCTGTTCTATTTTTCTTTGAAGAAATGCTCCTGGCAAATTTAGGAGACAAACTGCTTGGAACTTCAGAGATGTTCAGAAAGAAAAAAAGTAGTTTAGATTTCAGCAATAGCCTCTGATTAATTTCTGATTTCATTTAAGCATAGGATGTATTTACAGTAGAAACTACAGACAAGAATGCTTTTTGACTAAGTGGCACATATCTTGAAATACACTTTCTTAAAAAGGCTACTGGCCTTGTACATATACAGATTATCTATATAATATTTATGTCTGATTTGAAAAGGCTGCAATTTTTTGCCTTCTGTTGCAATCAGGCATCACTGCTGCAGGGTCAAGTTGATATTTTTCCTTGCTATGATACTGATTCCATTGGATGAATAAATTTTATTTTATGAAATGAATAATTTTACTGTCTAAGAAGGATTTGGCCCTTTAATTGCTAATATTTTTACTTTTTAAAAATATTGACCTGAATATAACTTTGACGGCCTCTGTCTATGTTTTCTAAATGTCATTAATAATCAGAAATGTTGAATACAGAAGGGCAAGTTAAATCCTGTCATTGAAACAGCAAACAGCTTTAGTCAAATGTATTGGCACAGAATTAAAAATGCATCAAGCATGTATTTGTCTTCTCAATGGGAAGCCCTTATTAATAGTTTGAAGAGTAGAAAGCTTAGTCTTATTCAACAAGCGCTGTAGTAGGTTGTTTTTTTTTAAAATATATTTTAATGTGTGAAATTGCAGGATGCCAAGGTTGCCATTAGAACTCCTCTCTTATTCCAGTAATTTTACCACTTAGATTCATTCTTTCCTTTCACAAAAAAGCACTTCATAGTGGTCACAGCAGAAATGCAGTGATACTGAGCAGAGTGCAAGGTTAATTACTACTCCACTGTCAAAATATTGGACATAACTACAAGGACATGAGTCGGCTCACTTCTCTGAGAAATCTCTCCCTTTTTCTCTTGTGTGCAGGGCTTTTCTAAGGAAGTGTATGTGCTTTATTCAGAATTTTAGTAGAAATGAGTTATAGACAGGCTATTTTAGAGGAACTCACTTTTCTCATTCTGGCCCAGTGTAAAAAGGTAGCACAAACCCATAGAAAAAGATGGTATTCTCAATAGACCTGTGGACATGACTCATACATCCGGGGTCCCTTGAAAACAAATCAGATGAATTGTCTGTATTTAAAACTTTGTTTTAGCTTCTGACTCTAGAAATTTAAAAGCAAGTGTTTGTCTTCAATGCTGTTACCCTTCCCTGTTCAGCCAAGATGTGGAAGGTTTGGCGAACTTGAAAAATGGTTCCTTTGTATTTGGGAGGAAACTATTTCTAATTAAATTTTAAAATTAAATTAAAGGGAATCACCAAATCTATGCGTGGCCTGGCAGATGCCTCAGTCTGTGTTTACTAGCTGTGGGCCAGTAGATTGGGGTCCCCTGAAGCCCTTACTGGAAACCTACAAAATAGAACAAACCCGATTTTGCTGTCTCATTAACAAATC